TCTTAAGCATCACAATTTTGGAGATCTTTTTGACAGAAGCTACACTCGAGACATTCTAACGGCGTGCCAGTTCAAAAGCATTTGCATTATTGATATTTGAAGACGCCTACTCTTTTGTTCTTTTACTGTTTCTAGTTAAAAGTTTTCCATGAAATTACCTAAAAATTCTTTGCATTATATAAATAAAGAGATGTACTTTCTTGTTAATTTCCCTTTTGCAAGCATCTTATCTTGAAAGGTTAAAACATATAGCTTAACTTGAAGTACATAAGATCATTCTGTATTATTGTGCAAAAGGTTTTGGAAAATGCATATATTCTGAAGCTGATAATGGTTTTAACATGTAAGCTTGTGTGGTTATGGGAGGTTAAAACTTTGGAGTTCGTAGAAAATCTCAGCCATTAAAAGATGACCCTAAGAGATTGTTGTTTGTCGAGAAGTTGGTCATGGATACTGGCGGGTTTCAAGAAAGAAAAGAGTCAAGGTCATGTTAAGCAGAGAGATATGGAATTGAGATTATTAGCTGGGGTAAACTGGTCAAATGTTCTGTGCCCAAGATGAAACCGAGTTCCATCGAGATCAAAAGGAAATGGAGTTCATTCGAAGAAGAAAACGCATTAAATTGCATAATTGCATACATTTAGGCATGAATAGGATCATGACATTCATAATGGCATGATGACTTAAATATCTACAGGTCCCAGGGATAGTTGAAGATTGAAGATGTGAAAGTATCAAGATGAGGATAACTAGTTTTTTGAAATCTTGAAAAGAATGATGTTTAGACGACAACTGAGCCAAAGTAGATTCACATATCCAATGGCTTCCAGACAAGTTTTCGCGATGAAGATGGATTTTCAGAAATTTTCTCAAATTCTAAATTTTTGAGTATAATATTTTTCAAACATACATTAATGTTTGGTAATGTTTGATTTTCAGGTTTGGCCTTCGAAACAAGTCAAACTTAAGCCTTCACGAAAGAGTAGTGAAGCAAATCATCTATAAGCCTTCATGAAAGAATAGTGAAGCAATTTTGATAAAGATTGTTCAAGTTCTATACTCCCTGAATGAATAGGGAGCGGACCCATTTTTATGAAGATTGTTCGAGTTCTATATTCTCTGATGGAATAGGGAGCGGACCCGTTTTATGAAGATTGTTCGAGTTCTATACTCTCTGAAGGAATAGAGAGCGGACCCGTTTTATGAAGATTGTTCGAGTTCTATACTCTTTGAAGGAATTGAGAGCGGACCCGTTTTATGAAGATTGTTCGAGTTATATACTCTCTGAAGGAATAGAGAGCGGACCCGTTTGTTGAAGATTGTTCGAGTCTGATACTCCCTGAACGAATAGGGAACAGACATATTTTATGAAGATTGTTCGAGTTTTATACTTCCTGAACGAATAGGGAGCAGGCTCGTCATTTGAAGATTTTTCAAGTCTCATTTATCCCGACGTAACAGTGAGTGGTTTAATCTTTTGAAGTTCTCATGACCGGACAAATTCGATCATCTTTTGATCTTTGCTCTATTCTCGTTACACGACAATGAGCAAAGAGGGGCAGCTGTAGATGCTCATTTTTGTCCGGGGCTAAGTTAGAGCAGATCCGAAGTAATGATGGGCTTAAAGAAGAACCCAAACCATTTGGAGGCCAAATCCAATGATCCTCAGCAAAAACATATTCCAGTCCACGTGAAGCTTGGAAAACAAAAATGGTTAGAAGGAGTTAACAAGGGGAAAAAGGCAGTTAACAAGTTAGGAGCCATTTTGGTAGTGGAAAGGAACACGACTGGGGAATTAAAAACTGAAAAGGGTCAGTTTTAGGGGGACACGATTTTTTATTGTTTTTTTTACTCAACGGGGGAATGAGAAAACACAGGTAGAATATTTCTTCACCCCAGATTCAAAGATCAAACGGTGTGTGTAAAAGGGATTCATGTAATTTATCCTTTTGATAGTAATACAAACAGAGGAGATTTCAGAGCAGTTTTTTTATTAGCAACACAGTTTTTAACAATAGAAAGCAGTAAAAAAAAGAAAGAAAGAAAGAGCAGTACATAACCAAAAAAGCAAGCAACAATCATTTCAGTATAGAAGAATCAAGATGTTCACCTTGCTTGGTTCGGGTTCCAGCCAAATTTGAAGTCATCGGAGTACCTTGGTTCGCCACCGGTGATAAAGGACTATCCCTCCATTCAAAAGCAATAGAAAACAGAGGGGTTCATCAGCAGCAAAAAACAAAGGTAACAAAGGCTCTTCCCATAATTTCTACCTTTCTCAAAAATAAGGAAAATATAAGATAAACAAAATCAAAATCAAGTTACAAGGTAGTTTCTAAATCTGATTTTAGGGAATTTTTGTTTCTTTTTGTTTCTGTTTTTCATTCGAATTAAAAAAATAATAAAAAAGGATTTGGGTTTTCTTTTTAACATCTTCAATAGTCATCCTTCTGTTTTGGTGAAGAAAGCAATAGGAATGGGTTAGAGTTTGTTTACCTTTAGTGAAGAGGTTTTGCAATCTGGGTCCATCGTAAGGAGCGGGGAAGTCGTCGCCAGAGTGAAGTCGATCGGGCTAGGAAGTCAAGCAGTCGGTTTCCTTTGGTTGTTTAGGTTTTGCATGTTAGATTTAGAGTTGGCTTTAGGGAGTTTAAAGCAAAAAGAAAGGGTTGTGGTAGAACCGACCACTATTGACGGGGGTTGGAGAGAAGAACGATGCACACATAGGGCATTTGGGGGTTTCGGTCGAAGGAAACAAGAGAGGGTAGGATAGGAGTTTTTCATTTGGGTTCTATTTAGGTGTACATAGACTTCCAACGGCCATTCAGAGCAGGAGTGATATCGATTTAAGGGTGTGAGATTCTCTTCTTTTTCCTGAGAGAGCGGCGCTGCGCGAGAGAGAAGAGAGTTGAGAGTGAGAGAGATAACGGCTGGGAAAAGAATAAAATAGGTTTAGTTTTTTTTAACTTAAATAACATATATATGTTCTTATTAAAACGGCGTCGTGTAGGTGTTTAAGGTTCCCGTTTACGCAGGGGTTATTCACCATTTGGGTCACGCAAAGTTTTCATTGTAATTCATTTTGGTCCTTGAATTGATATTTTCGTATTTCTATTTTTACCTCCATATTTTGAGCGCATTCGATCAAGTCCTAACTGGTAATGTATTTAGTTTATGTTTGTTTATGCTTTTGACTTGTACTTTTACGCATGTTATATTTTAGTCCTAGAATAAAATCTTTTATGTTTTTAATTTAGTTATTAATTGTTGCGTGCATTTAATTTTAGTCACTAAATCAAAGTTTCCAAGATTATAATTTGATCTTCATATTTGTAATCGTTTCCTTTTTAGTCATTAGTTTATGTTTTTTTTTTGCTTGTTTATGCATTTGGCATGTAATTTTGGTTAATTGGTGTTCTATCCTTTAAATCTAATCTGTTGTGTTTTAATTTGGTCTTTGTATTGCATGTTTATTTAATTTTAGGCACAAATGTTGATTATTTTGTTTTTGTCATTTAGACATTAGAGTTCTATATTTTTGCATGTTTCTTTTATGTCCTAAAGGTTGATTTATTTCTTCATACATTTGACCATTTAATATATACATGTACACTTTAATTCTTACTTTGTTTGTATTTAAAAATAGTAAAATTTTTTTTAATATGGTTTAGTCCTTAAATATAGTTATCTCGTGAAATTTATATTTTGGAGTTAATATATTTTTTTTCAAGTCACTTTCGTACATTACATATTAATACATATATATATATATAAATTATAATTTGTGGTATTTAAATATTTTGGCATGACATCCACTTTTTGCATAATTTACATGATAGTCTCACGTGCATAACTCGGACTAAGGGTAATACCCTTTTAATTTAAAATTGTTTTAAGTGCGCAGTCATAACTGATTTGAGATCCGCTTTTAATGATTTTAAAATAAAAGTGTATCCCGAAAGTGAAACAAAAAAATTGATTCGTCACCTAAAATTTGGGAACGAGAGAAAAGGAAATGTTCGTTTATTTAAATATATCGAGAAAAGGTTGTTATATCTTTAAGATCTGGTCTCGATATTTGTAAATAATCGAACATTTTTTATTTTCTAAAACGACTTGGTAATTTTAATTTAATTTGTTTGAGTGCTTTTGAATGTTTTTAAATTTACATCATTGTTTTATGGGATCAAAAATCAAATTAAGTTCGAATTTGTAAAGTTCAATGCAAAGACATTAATTAATCGACTAGGTACCGTTTTAGGGCGTTGTGGGGGTGCTAATCATTCTCTGCACGTAACCGACTCTCGAACTCGGATTTTGATAACGCAGACCTTAACTTGTTGTTTTAATTAAAAATAATTTTTATTTAAAATAATAAATATTTTTGGGTATCCAATCACACCCTAATCAAAGATTGGTGGCGACTCTTTGAACCGTATTTTTTCGATCGTAAAGAAAATTCAGAATTTTCGAAATGAGAGTTTTTTAAAAAAATCGTATTTGTTTTTTTTTAAATCTATTGAACGAGATAAATTAATGTGATTTTCAAAATCTCACATTTTCACCTTTTAAAAAAAAATCGTTTCGACATATATATATATATATAAATGTCACTCTTTTCTAATTTCTAATTTCTTTACACAACTGTTTACGATTTTTTGGCGTATGTATACGAATAATAATTATATTAATATTGAGATATATGATTTTTTAAGACTTAATTGTATCAAATATTCTTAAATTATAATTTAGATTTTTAATTGGTACAAAAACCTTGAAATAATTGAGATCTCAAACTATCAATATTGTTTAGACACTTTAATAATATAGATGAAAATACTAAATAAAATATTTACTACAATTGATTCTATGTTCAACCTAAAAATGACCAAGGTTTTTCGTTTTTAAAATAAAAATAAAAATCTCTAATGATAAGATATCAGGAAGAAACAAACACCGATCCTTTGACACAAACTACATCCCCATGGATGTCTCAACTTTATAAGTTCTGAAACAGAGACGAGTTATTTCATTTATGAATATCCGTAGGAATAAAAAACAAGATGAAATGAAATTACACTAACATAAATAAAATATACAACTCCTACAACTATGAACCTCAAGATTTCAACTTTGTAGCGTGAATTGGGTGCTTACACTATTTTTTTCTCAATTTTCTTTCACCCACAAAAAATAATAAACAAAAGGACCTTGAGGGGTAAGAGAAGATCTGTCACTTCCAATGGCAACGCCACAGCTCCCTGCCCAACATGATAACCTAGACCCTCTAAAAACAACACGTCCAGCTAGCCTGCAAAAAATACAAACAAATTAGTTAGCATACCAAGCTGCGGATCTATATAGAATGAGAAGAAATGCTCCTCAGCTTGTACACAGCAGGTCTCCATCAAATCCAAGTTTTAAATTTTGCAGTTTCAATACCAGCCTCTTCTATCAGAGTTTACCCTAATCTTTGGTTTATGCAATTGTAGAAGCATACCTCTAATATTTCCAACATTAAGAGGCCAAAACCTAAACGCATGCAGTCTACTTGTCCGTGTGCCCCCTTTTGCCCTTGCGACGACCATGGGTTGTATGAGCATGTCGAGCACGCTTCTTTCCATTTTTGCTACAGAAATTAAAGTTTTTGACACGGTGAAGAGAAGGATATTTGCAGCAAACTACAGCAGTCTTATAAGAACAACATAAGACTACATAGATAATTAAGAAACTGACCAGAAAATGGATGAAAATATTCTGAACAAAATAATAATAGGTAGAGCCAACAGAGCAGATGCCTGATAAAAAAAAACAGTAAGTTATTTGCTTGTGCTAAGTAATAACAGATTAGATGATTCGACTTCAGTTGACAGTAATTGAAAAGAGTATGCAACACAACCAATATACCTACCGCAAACCACTCAAGCTCTTTGGTCGCAAGGGGCCTGGTCAACTCATGCTTCTTCAAAGTGTCTTGCACGGAAGCTTGAACCTAATATTACAGGCAGCAATAGTTTGATAATCAAGGCAACAACAATCCAAAAAAAAATACTATATTCGGATTCTGTATTCCAAGAAAATTATAAATTTCTGCAACATGTAAAAGTAATTTATATGCTTTACCCTCCCACAAGAAATTTCCGTTGCACCACATTTTATGCAGTGCAGCAAAACATAACATGCCACAAAAGTTGGGGGACTATTATGCGAAAGCCAAGCAAAAAATCAAAGTTCATTTACCAGTAAAGGAACACTTAAAACTAAGTATCTGGTAATGCAAAAATCAGTATAGTACAATTCTTAATCCTCTAAAATGAGACAGAAAATGATCAAGACAACTTTAAAAGAGTAACAAATGATAGAACATTGGTTACTTGCACAGACCAGAACAAAGAATGAGGACAACCAAAATAATTGGCATTCTATCCCAAATTTCAATTTCCATAGCTACCATTACTTCAGAACTTCACTGAGGCACATCAACAAAGCAATTGAATATTAAAAATAGATACATCATGCTTAGAGTTTTAACTCCCTTGCTGGATTGTTTCCAACAATAGTTCATGAAGAGAGACCAAAAAATAAGTAAAAGAAGTTATTGATACCTGTTGATGGTATGTTGTTGCCGATTCCAAAAATTTTCCATAAGCATTAACTACCTCCTTTCTAAATGGCTTCATCACCTTGCAAACGTTATCATAATGAGGCTTTGCTAAAGTAGCAACCTGATCAATATATGGCTTACTGAACTTCTTTGCTTCCTGTGATCAAGAAATCTGTGCTTTAGGATGTGCATTTAAACAAAGAAAAGACACGGTGGAGCATCACATACCTGGAAGTAAGGAACAACTATTTCGTGAACTTTGACAATATGAGGAGTTACTGCAGTCTTTGATGCTTCATAAACTTCAACAGTTTTTGTTTTTAGTGATCGCACATGTGGTTCAGCATGTGTGGTTACCACCACCCACTGATCCTTAATAGCTGGAACCCATTTCTTCAAGTGAAAAGATCAGGATCATAAGAATACACTAATGATTAGAAAGAAACTCATATAATCATACATAAGCTCCTGATTTGGTTTGGAATTTGCAGTTTTAAAAGAATCTTACAGTTTTAATTGTTTCCACGTGGGGTTCAGCCCACTTTTCAGCTAAGGCCTTTTTCTCAAGAGCCTGCATGTAATATGAACAACAATTTAGTTGTAATAGTATGCTGTACTTCATAATCTAATGTTGCACCTTGATTTGAGGATTTACACATAAAAGTTTAAACTAGTACGATCTAAAAGGCACCATGTTGCAGTAAAGGATAATAAAACCAATACCTTCTGTACCACCATATCCACGGCCGGTTTTCCACGCTCGGTCCAATGTGTCTGAATGAAGGCCTACAGCAAGAAAGTTTTTAGAATCAAAAGAGAAAGATCTGTTATACACAAAAAAAAAATATTACTCTTAATTTACCTGACCACGGTTTAACTGCATAGCAAGCCAAGGTGGAAGCCATGCCCTGTGAACCTGATTGCAATCATTACTAATTAGACTATTTAGTATTTAATATGTGCTTGTAGAATTTACTAAATGCTTTACAGCTTTTGGTCTTTGTTGATAAAATATCTGCAGTTAATAATCAATAATAGTCACATGCAAACTATTTTGACCTAGTACAAGTAATTTGGTAAAATAAACATCATAATTCTAATTAAAATTTCCAATTTACCAAAATTAAAGCAACAACTCCCTTCCTTAAAGCAGTATTCCCTTCCAGAGAAACTTATAAAACAGAAGTCCATAAAATTTACCAGTTCCTTTAGCTGAAGAAAGATTACTTAAACCAGCAGATAGTATACACAATTTATTGATTTCACTTGTAAATTTTCATTGAAAGAAATTTCAAAAAAATTCAAAATAGATGGCATAGTATAATGAACTAAGCAAAATACCTCCATCAATTCATTTCCCTTTGAGGAGGCCTCAAACTTTGTCTTAATCAATTCTTCCTATTAAATTAATAATAATATAGTCAGTAAAATAGCTCCAGGACCATTGTCTAACTCAAAGTATTGACTTTGCAACTAGTTAGTCATAATATACCTCCGCAATATTTAGAGCTCGATCAGTTTTTGCTATTTTGTTCACCTGCTCCTTATTGATCTTTTCAAGCTGCAAAATGAAGATAATTCTAAATGGGTTTAGACATACTACATGCAGCAAAAGAAATGTATTCATATATGTGCCACTGGGAAAAAAAAAGGATAGCAGAGCAAATCAACAAGACAATTGAAATTCCTCGAACTTCTAGCAAACCAATGAAAAAGAAAACTTACATTCTCTAGCTTCAAACTCAATTCATTCAACTTGTTCTCAGCTTTGGTGGCACGGGCTTCCAAAGAATCTGCTTTCTTTAATTTTGCTTCTAATTCAGTTTTAAGTTTATCAACCTGGGCAACCAGACGTACTATCAGAATGTTGAAAAGAGCTATAATTACCTGTAAAACTAGAAACATCCTTGATGAGCAACTACCTGTTTCTGCAATTCAAGTGCCTGCGCATGAGCTTTTCCCACCTGCTCCTCAGCATCCGAGGTTCCCTTTTTCTGAGAAACAATAAAGTAAATATTTTAGAAGCCATCTCTTTTTCATCATTATACAATTAGTTTATAATTAAGAAAAAAGAAAGTAAAGAACTTGCATACCTGAAGAGATGATAATTCAGTTTGCAAGGATGTGATGCTGTCAGATTTGAGTTGAATAATTTTATATTTCTCCTTTATTTTCTCGTCCTTGGTTTTCAGTTCTCGAATTTTCTCCTCAACATTTGATTCTTTATAGAAGAAAACAAATTGTAATTAATCAATAAAGATGAACTTAAATTCCGCATTTGAAAGCGATTGAACTTTCACTAATAAAAAAGGTTTAAAAATACAAAATGAAGCTTTAGCCGCTCTAACGGATACGAAAAAGTAGACACGAGAGTTAGTGCTAGAAGTATAAACAAGATGAACCATTCTGTACTAGTGGACATAAAGTAAAGAGGCTTTGAATCTGAGATAGGATCGAATAGAGAAGATAACGATAAAATTAAGCAAGAGAGGTAATCACGTCGATAAGAGAATCGGGAATAAGAAAACCAACCAAGAAAACGGATCTTAGACTTCAGTTGATCCAACTCCGCCTTCAGAGCAGAAGAACTGGCGGAGTCGGATTCAATCGCTGGTTCGGTTGAGGCATCGGCTCTAATCTGATTGAAAATTAGGGCCAAAAAGAGGGAGAAAATCACGAGCCTAGAAGCTGCCATTCGCCCCGAAAATCGCCGCGAAAAATAAACCCTAAAGATACACTCACACAGCCCAAAGGCTTCAACTTCCTTCTTCGCCGGTACTAAATGTGGTGGTTTTCTTTCCTTCAATATTTTTCTATTTGTTTCTTGTTGGTTGTCGATATTTCATATGGAGGATCAGATAATTATTGGTTCTGGAAAAATAAAAGGAAGAAAGGAAAGAAAAATCTTTTCCTAATCGATCTTGTCCATCTACAAAAACGTGGCAATTATTTTATTATTATTATTTGTACGTAATAAAAATAAGGGTGAAGTATAAAAATGGTCCCTGAACTTTTCTATATTTTTCATTTAGGTCCTCCAACTTTTAAAACTTATAATACAATTCTCCAATATTTAGTCTGTTTGCAATATGGTCCCCGATGTTACATTGCCGTTTAGGGTTGTAAATGAGATAAAACAGATCGTGAGCTACTCGATATCGACTCGATCAAAGCTCGATAAATACTCGGATCGAATGAACTCGACTCGAGCTCGAACTCGACTCGAGTTCTTAATGAGCTGAAACGAGCTACTTGATATTCGACTCGAAAAGCCCATGAGCAGCTTGAAAACTTAATATATTAAGATTTTATTTTAAAAAAAAAATAAATTATCAATAATATTAACATTTTATGTATTGTTTTTTTATAAAAAAATACAGTAAGATTTTCATGTATTTAAGGTTCAGGTTTGAGTTTGAGGCTTCAATCGAGTTAAGTTTAAGATTTTTTTCATTTCGAGCTGCTCACGAAGTTTAGTTCAGGATTTCGAGTTTCGAGTCGAGCTTGAAAGTATTAAGCTCGCGAGTTTTCGAGTCGAGTCGAGCTCAGCACTACTCGACTCGGCTCATTTACACCCCTACTGTCGTTAAACTGTCGTTAGTACGTTTGCAATATGGTCATTGAACTTTTTAGACGCTTGCATTTAGGTCTCCCAACTTTTAAAACTCGCAATATAATCATCAATTTCATTCTAAACCCCAAATTCATTTTCAATCTCGAATTTCATTTTTCGCTTCTCTCTTCTCATTTCCAGTGTAACTTTTCAGTCGGGGATACATGAGAAATTATAATCTAACTTTGAATTATGTGGATGTGTTGGCTTGAATAAGGGTCCATTGAGAGAAGCCCCGACCAAGATATTATCGAGACCATCAACGATTCAAGGTGTAATGTTAGATACAAGTCATCTCAGGTGAAGCATAGATCTTTGATGAAATGCTTGCGAGAAAAAATGATAGAAACACAGAGTTGATAAATACTACTAAGATGAACTAAGTATCATTGTTGAAAGTCACCAACAAAGCTGGAATTATTTTGTATAAATGACATATAATAATTTATTCTTTTAATCCTTGTGGTTAAAGATTTTCTAACAGATGATCAAATATAATGAAATCACAAACAGCGCATTCACCTCTTAGTCTCTTTCGCAAATCGAAAGGCATCATGACAGGGTCAAGTAGTTGCTCCAAATATAATACTCTGTTATGATGCCTTTCGAGTTGCATGCATGCAGAATTGGCTTCTAAAACTATAATTCAATACAATTCAACTATAAAATTTACAAAACATGTAAAAAATCCAATTCGTTCACGATATATCAGTCTCATAATCATCATGAATTTATTAAAAAGAATATAAGCTCACAGGACGTCGAAAACCACAGGTCGGAGCAATACAATTCCTAGTAAACTAGTATCAATAGTCTCTCGGATTGAGCTTGGTGATTCCCATAATCAACTTGATCGTACTAACGATAGTTTAACATCGGGGACCATATTGCAAACGGACTAAATATTGAAGGATTGTATTGTAAGTTTTAAAAGTTAAGAGACCTAAATGAAAGCTTTAAAAAAGTCCAGTGACCATTACTATACTTTACCCTAAAAATAATTGAGATCCGATTTGATACTTAAAATTAGATATTTTGGTGGGTGGTAGGTGAAAGTGATATTTGGCAGCGGTCCGTTCCAATAAAATAATGGTTTAAACCCTTGGGTTGCGTAATTGGGTTGATTCTTGCAGAATAAGTGCAAGGGACGAATTCTAAAGAGTTTCTGAAGCGAAACACACGGTAGCGTGTGAGAAGAAGAGAGGGTTGATGTTGCAATGGTTACCGTCGAGTTTGAATGGTGCACTAAACGAGGTGAGACAGGGTTGGTGAGACAAATAAGGCTAAATTAGGGGGAAATTGGTTTTAATTAGGCTTAAATAGGTTGGCGAGCTAGATGGAGGTTTATTTATCAAAATATATATTTTTTAAATTATTTTTAAAATAATATTTTTTAATATGTATAGAATGCATATATATAATTTTAAAGTTTAAATATATAAAAGGTGCGTAATTTATGTCCGTTTTTCAGTGTAATGTCTAACGTTTATTTTGTTCTAGTTTAGTGTCTAACGTTTTATTTCGTTACTCAAAATGAATTAAGACGTGACAAACCGTTAGTCTTATCCATTAAGTGACATGTGTCACAATCTCGTAAATTTGAAATATATTTTTAAAAAATATATTAAAAATATTATTAAATTTATATAAAAACCCTTATTTCTTTTAAATTATAAAAAAACCTCAAAATCCCCAAATTCTAACACTAGCATTCCTCCGTCGTCATTTTCGGTCACGACCACCGTCTTTGACGTAGTCCTTATCATCATCCTAGCTATAAGTCATCGTAGTTGTCATCGATTGGTCACCGAAGTTGTTTGAGATTGCGATTTTTATCTTAAGTTTTACGAGGTATAAAACGTTGATTCGTCGTCGATCATCCATTGATTAGTCTTAATTTCATAGGGGTTTTGGTCACCAATGGGAGTTTAGGTCGAGTTGAGCTTCATCGACGGTAAAGTACGACGGTCGACGTGGGTTTAGGGGTTGAAATGAATGTTTTCAAAGTTCAAGGTTATTTAAAAATTTATGTTTTTTTAAATATATACTTTTATATTTTTAATTTTATATAAAAAATTAAATTATCAAGTTGTGACACATGTCACTTAAAGAAAAAAACTATCAGTCTGTCACGGCTTGACTAATATTGCGTAACAGAATGAAACGTTAGGCACCTAACTGGAACGAAATAAACGTTAGACACTAAACTGAAAAAATGAGCATAGGTTGGACACCTTTTGTATATTTAAGCCTATTTTTAACATTTTTTATTTAGTTGATAAAATTAGTTTTCAATGTTTACACAAATGATTATTTTGACTTTTATTTTTATTTTTCTTAATGTTTTTATTTTTTATGAAAATAATCTTTGTTTGATAAATTGACGGTCAATATATATTATTGATATGATATTTTCAAATATAATTAATTAGTGATACGAGTCACATGATATATATTGGTGACTTGGCTTGTCATATTATTATTTTGATCAAAAATTAAAATATTATAGCTAAAATTCTCTAAAAAAATTATGACCAAAATGGTTATTTGTGCAAACATTGGGGGTTAATATTGTCATTATGCCCTTAATTTTTTAACTTCATGTATCTTCTTATTTTTCCAATTTCTCTTACATTCAATTCAATTCTCAAATTTGAACCATGTTAGTAACATCCCAAAAGTTGGGTCAATGACCAAAATAGAATTTTTGGTAATTTAGTGATCAATCTCAAAAAAGATTGAAAGTTTAGGGATTTAAATAAAAAGTATTGATGTTGGATTTAATAACAAAGTTTGAAAGTAATAAGGGTATTATGGTGATTTTTCAGGAAAGATTTTTATTTCCCTTTATAAAAGGTAATAAGAACGTGGGAAGGAGATAATTTCTCCAGAGCATTCTTCAGTCTTCTTCTTCCTCCTCTCCACCGTGAAGCCTGATATAATGTAAGAGGGTATTCAGTTGGTTAATTCTTTCGTTTTAAATCTTGTTTTGATTTTTGGGATATTAAGAAAGATTAAGAAAAGCTTTAGGTGGCTTAAAACTCAAAGATTAACAAGTTATGAGAAATTAAGAAAAATGAGTTTTTAAGTGAATTTTTGAAATATAATGAGTTAATATATTTTGAAGTTGAATTTAACTTGTCAATGGTTGAATTAAGAGATGTGAAGTGATAGAATGAGTTTTAAAACATGTTGAAAATTTGGTATGATTCTTGAAATTAATCAAGAGGAGAGGATATTAAGGTTAAATACAAGATAAATGAATAAAAATGAATCTAAGCATGTATATGTAAGTTAGGATTATAAAAGAGGATGAACCATGAAGTTTTGAAGATGAAAGAGTGAATTATCGTGCCTAAAGAGTAATTTCTGGGCAAGGTGTATCAGTACACATTCAAAGTGTATCGATGCACTCTTTAAATAAGAAACATCGAATGCCAGGAATGTATCGATGCACTATGAGTGTGCACCGATGCACCAAGATAAATTTTGAAGGTGCATCGATGCAGTACGGGGTGCATCGATGCATCGATATTTCGAAGCTATTTTGGGTACCGATGCACCTATAGTGCATCGGTACACCCCTGAATGAAAAAGTGAATATTAGTTTATTAAGTTTGTTTAAGTTGTTAGTATCAGATTACAAGGTGTAGGTATCTGATAATTGCCTTAAAATGTATAATTATGTAGATTCATAGCCTAAACAAGTTCCGGAATCATTGACAAGTAAGATCGATCAAGGGGAAAGATAAGAGATTGGAATTGACTAGTGAGGCCAGGTGAGTGCATAATAGTGACATGTATTATTTAATGGAAATAGGACTTGCAATGAGTCTATTTCCTAGAATAATATGCATGAAGTCATGAATAAGATTATGTGGTTATTATTATTATATGTGTTATATGTGATTATATATTTTACATTAATTGTATATATACATAACTAAAGATATTGATGTGCTTTTTATATGCTATAGGATTTGTGTAAAACACTAAAATGTAATAATGGAAGAACATGAAATAAATTATATGATAGAGACATAAGGAATGAAATGAACGAGTGAGCATAAGATAATCAAGTATAAGTCATATTATATGGTATAGGTGATTACACGATAAAGGTTAGAAGACTCTATGAGGATAATATAAATTCGAGGGCATATGCATAAATAAGGATACATAAGTTATATAGGGAAGATTTATATAGTTAAAGGAAACTATGATT